CGCAGGGTGGTCCTTGGGTGCAAGTGGCATCTGTGTGTTGGGGAACGAGGTTGTGAGTAAGGCGAGAGACATACTTGGTGCTGGAAGTGTGCGACATTGGTCGCTGTTTGCTCGTACTTCAGGAGAGCTGTTGTCGTGAACTTCGGCATTGTAGTATAGGCTAGATAGGATCTGCCACATGTAGCAAAAAGGTTATCAACTCTGGTTTTTCGTTGATGATGATGATGGGACTATTTCAGCATTGTCAATTATGAACTCTTGGTGTGTTCTTATTTGGTGAATCTAGTGGTGCAATTCTGCTGTTGGTTCGAGGGTCACGACCATCTGGACTCATATGTATGATGCTGTTTGATTGCTGAAGTTCGCTATTGCTCATCTTCCTGGCAATTTGGTATCGGAGCTGTGGTACGATTGCGCTCATCTGGCGCTTGTCTTCTGCCTTATGCGGTACATACATGCGGTCTGCTTGGCGAGTTTGGCTGTAGGTGGTGTGTAGTGAGGAGGGCGGAGACGAGTGATAGGCGACCCAGGAGGTGAGGGGATCGCCAGGAAGGCTACGTGGGGGTAATGTGGTCTGGACAGTGTGATGAGAACTATCTAATGTGTGATTGATGCTGAGGTGGAACGGCGAGATAATGCTGGTTGTGCTGATGTAGTGACTGGTCATCACAATCGCCATCAGGTCATCTGGTGAGATTATCTTTGTGGTTGGGGGCAGCTATTTGAGGTACGTTGCTCTTAACCTTATCTACCCTCTTCGACACTTCTTACCGTGAGGTTGTGTTCCTTCTTGAGAGTCCTCTCATTGTGAGGTGTCGAGTGCGCTCAACCTTGAGAGTCGGCAATGTTCACGTGGAGCATCTGGGAGAAGATGGGTGGAGCTTTCTGAAGGGCCCTGGACGAAGCACTGGGTCACGGTCACCATGCCAACCCACCGGGAGTAGAGCACGCATGCTTTGCTGCTTGTCCATTGTTTGGCTTGCTGCGCTGTTAGATGGGTACTGAAGGGCAGGCCAGCCCTTAAGGGAGACGAGACTGGGCGTCTTTAAATAAGCACTGGAAGGGGAACCATTGACTATGATCGTCGTCCAACTGCGACGTAAAAGAATTCCTGGAGTCACTTGGGGGCGGACGTTAAATTGCCTCTGGATCAGCCAACGGTTGTAAGGCTCGCTGCACGCGAGGATAATCCAGTGCAGGGCTGGCCAGCTCAGAATATACTCGGGGTACAGGGGTGGGCCGAACACACACCTTTTAGACACGCAACGCCTCCAGATTGCTCAGGGACCCTGATACTCAGGGGAACTAAGGGAGGGGTAGATTTCAGGTTGTAAAGTTCGAGAAAATTCCATGCTGTCCTATCCACACAAATGATTATATTTTTATGTTTTGATTAGTTAAGTGTACAACCATTGACATCTGACAGACAGCATTAGTTAGAATTGTTTCTTGTTCATGGTGCTTCTATTTGCGGACTAGTCAAACTAAAAATAGTTTTATTTGTAGGAATCTGACTTACCTGTTGGGCCCGAATGTAAAGTCTCTGAAATAGCCACCAGTTAATTGATCTGTGCACTACGCTGCGGTAGGCATTTATAGTACACTAGTGCAGATTGTGTACAGGGTTGTAGCTTATGAGCGACGAGGAGGACACTGGAGAGGACGACCGGAGGATCTTGCGATCGGCTAGACGCCCAATTGCCCACTTGGCATTAGGACCAGAGGGCGACAGATCTGTTCCGCCAGCTTAGAGAGAGGCAGCAGCAGCAGAGGAGGGCTAGAGCAGCAGAGGCCAGCAGGGCACTTGTGAGTGAGGCCGCAGCTTCGGAAGCCATGGCCACTTCTGCGCAGCAAACTACTCAGGCCGGTAGTTCAGGGTTTGTCGGGTCAACAGTCGTGCAGACCCAGAGTCGGTCCACTGGAGTAATGGCAAGCCAGCCAATAGTGTTGACATCCGACGAGATTGCCATACAACAAGCAGCATTGCAGGAGGCACAACTACAGAAGGCGTTAGGAGATATAAAAGCGGAGAATGCCGCTATCAGGAGGGATCACAACAGAATCTAGTTTGCAGGTTCCAGTACAGACAGTGTTAACCCAATCTCCGTTGCAAGTTGCAGTCACCACGCAGCCTGTGCAGCCGCTGGGCACACAGCCCCAACAGTTAGCACAGCAGCCTGTGTCACAGGGTCCACAGCCCGGAGTGATGCAGGGACCGGGACAAACACAGTGGGTTCCAAAGACGGCCATCGCCACTCTGAAACCCTTCACAGGGGATAAGAGAGGTGAAGACCTCGACACGTGGTTGCGGGCAGTGCCAGTGTTAGGTGTAAACTTACCTTGCCGCACAAAGACGTGTTTGTGGCTGCCTCCTACCTAAAGGGTAGCGCAGCAAGATGGTTGAGTGGTTTAGTGCAGCTCCAGGGGTATGGTCATGACTTTCCCGCTTGGGCGGTCACCCAGAAATTCGATGACTTCCTTAAGCTGGTGGAGGAAAGGTGGCATGATCCTCAGAAGGCCCAAAGGGCCACTGACGCGATCCTGACACTGCACACGCGGCAGTTCAAGTCAGTAAGGGAAGCCACCGACGTTGTTGAGCGTCTGATCTGTGTCCCAGGGGTGCGCTATGACCCCCAGGTACTACTCACCTCCTACCTGAGATGCTTCTCCTTGCCTCTCAGTAACCAGTTGGCAGGTGAGGCCAACATCAATATGCACAACTTTCCTTCGTTTAGCAAGAAGGCCCTAGACCTTGAGGCAAAGATACGGCATGGACAGACACCCACAACAGACGGAAGGAGGAAGACACTGCCTCCTAACTGGTAGGCGAAGGGACGCATTATGTTTGTCGATAACGATGGTTCAATCATCGAACTAGACGACAACTTCCAAGAAGGAGTAGGTTCAGAGGCAGGCAGTGCAAAAGCTTCAGAGGGTGGAGTAGTCGCCGCCGTAACTCAGAAAGATAAGGTGACCAGTAGACGTCATGGAGGTTCCCAGTCTAGGAGTCAAGTTGACCCCAACGCTCCTCCATGGGAGAAAGCGGGTCTCACAGAGGACGTGTGGAGAGATCGGTACACACGGCAAGCTTGCATTCGTTGTGGCCAATACGGCCATAACCAGTTCACGTGCCGAAACAAGAAGGTTACCGAGAAGATCCCATCTACGATGGGGCAGGCGTTGGGATTCTCCCATCCCGTTGGTAGCAACATGGCTAGTTCTTCTGGCACTGCTCCGGGAAACACATCGGGCCAATAGGAATAGTAGTTGTTCCTGCTAGGGTCGAGGTGGTGGAGACACCCTCACCATCTCGAGAGATGGCCCAAGCTACTGACTCCAACGCCGTCCCGCAAACACGTTCAGACCCATCGAGCCTCTGTTTGATGAATGTGTTTGAGTCCTTAGAGGAGCTAGAGGAGGAGTGGTCTAGATCAGACCCGCTAGCTTCTTGGACGGCCCTAGTCAAAGCCCCGAAGGGTGAGATGTTCGTCAGCGAGGTTGTCATTGGCGGCCGCAAGGCCGCAAGGCCGGGGCCTATTATGACACTTGCTCACCTAGAAACTTTATTAGTCGCGCGTGCATTGAGAGGCTGCGCTTACAGGGGCGAGTGCAGCACCTGAGTCGACCTGTGCCGACAAACAGCGCATGGTAGTCAACGACTACCTCCAGGATGTTGAGTGTGGTTTCCCGTACGCGGGAGGGGAATTGGGACATCGCGTCTCGTTCCTAGTGAGTGACGAGTTCCCCATGGATATGTTGTTAGGTATGTACTACCTCTCGATGGCACAGCCCCAGTTTGACTGGGACCGAAAAGTGGTCAAACACACTTTGCCAAGTGGAGGGACCGCCCAATTGCATAAGTTCAAAGCTAGTAGTCTGATTGAGTCCCACAGGTGCATGTGTGCGGCCGCGTTCTACAGCTATTATAAGCAAAATCAGGAGGAGGATATGTATCTAGTTTATGTCTTTGCTGCACGCGAGCCAGTGAAAATGCCGCCAGAGATAGAGGGAGTAGTTGCCAAGTACCTTGATCTATTTGAAGAGCCGACAGGGTTGTAGAGAGGGAGGTCGTCCACTCGATAGAGATTATCCTAGGGTCTAGCATCCCGAAGGGTAGGATCTATCGGATGTCTCCAGGCGAGCTCGATGAGCTTCGCCGACAACTCAAGGAACTCGTAGAAAAGGGTTGGATCCGGCCAAGTGTCTCTCCTTATGGGTCTCCAGTACTATTCGTACCTAAGAAAAAGGAGGGAACTCTGAGGATGTGCATTGACTATAGGGGCCTCAATGCCATCACTGTTAAGAATAGAGAGCCCCTACCGCGCATCGACGATTTGCTTGATAGAGTGCAAGGGTGTTGGTACTTCAGTAAGAGAGATCTGAAGCCCGGGTACCATCAGATTGCAATCCGGCCCAAGGATCAACACAAAATCACATTTCAGACTAGGTTCGGCCTATACGAGTTTGTGGTGATGCCTTTCGATCTTTGCAATGCTCATGGCACCTTTCAGCACGCTATGAATCGGATATTCCATGACTACTTGGATAAGTTTGTCATCGTGTACCTCGATGACATACTTATTTTTAGTAAGACTGTCGAGGAGCATGTTGCACACTTGAACAAAGTCCTTAGTCTCCTGCGACAACACAAGTTCAAGATCAACAGTGAAAAGTGTGAGTTTGGCCGCACCCGTGTCTTGTACTTGGGTCACGAGATTTCCGCGGAAGGGTTGAAGGCCGATGACGCGAAGGTGGGCAGCATTCGTGACTGGCCTCGTCCTTAGTCTGTGACTGAGATGAGATTTTTCTTAGGGATGACCGGCTACTATCGCAACTTCGTGGAGAACTATAGTATAGTTGCCACCCTTTTACTGATTTGACCCGCCTTGACACCCCATGGGAGTGGACTGAGAGATGCGAGGCTGCTTTCAGACATCTGAAGCATGCGTTGACGCATTACAAAGTCTTGAAACTTCCTGATCCTGATAAGCCATTTATAGTAACTACGGATGCTAGCCAATATGGCATAGGCGCCGTACTTGCACAACAGGAGGGGAAAAAGTTGAGGCTAGTGGAGTACATGTCCAAAACGATCACCTCTCAGAAGTTGGCAAAGTCCACCTATGAGAAGGAACTCTATGCGGTGTACAAGGCTCTGACCCATTGGAGACACTATCTCCTTGGGCGGCTCTTCATCCTCAGGACTGATCATCAGACCCTGAGATGGATGAGAACTCAGCCGCTACTCTCTGACGCTCTCAAGCGTTGGATCGAAGTCATCGAGCAGTATGACTTTGAGCCCCAGTACATCAAGGGCGAGTACAACAAGGTTGCTGATGCCTTGTCGCGTAGACCTGATTTCTCAGGTGCGCTGATCACTGAGTTTGGGCTTGCGGACAATGTTACTCAGTCCATGGTGGAAGCCTATGGCAAGGACCCGTTCATGTCTGAGATCATCCGCAGACTCGAGGCGAAGGACAAGGTGACTTCTTCTAAGTTTGAGTTGGTCAACGGCTTACTGTTCCTTAAGAAGGCTGGGAATAAACGATTGTGTGTTCCTAATAGGGAGTTTTTGCATAGTTTATTTTTAGGAGAGTGCCATGATGCCATTGGACATTTTGGCTTTAAGAAGACTGCAGCTAATCTGTTGCAGCGGTTCCGGTGGCCCACGATGATGAGGAATGCGAAGTTGTATGTGGAGACTTGTCAGGTCTGTCAAAGAGACAAGCCACATACTCAGGCTCCTCTTGGGCTCCTGAAGCCCCTTCCGATTCCGGAAAGGCCTGGTGAGAGTCTGTCCATGGACTTCATGGATACGCTGGTCACCAGCAAGAGTGGAATGCGCTACATCTACGCCATTGTGGATAGGTTTAACAAGTTTGCTAGATTGTGGATAGTTGCAATGCCTAAGACAGCGAAGACTAAGCATGTGATTAAGCTGTTCAAAGAGAACTGGGTTAGGGATTTTGGATTGCCAAAGTCTATAGTCAGTGACCGTGATGTGCGATTCGCAAGTGAATTGTGGAAAGCCGCAGCTGCCGAACAGGGAACGCAACTGCAGATGACATCAGGAAACCATCCCGAGGCGAATGGACAAGCAGAACAGTTGAACCGCGCTGTACAACACTTGCTGAGGCATTATATTAAGCCAAATCAGGTAAACTGGGATGAGAAACTTGCTCTCATTGCCAGCCTGTACAATAACGTGTTCCACAGCGCAACAAGTGTGAGTCCGAATAGTCTGCTATTAACTTTTAAGCCTAGACTGCCCTTGGATTTCCTACTACCTAACCAACAGCCCTCTGCTGCAACAGAAACTTTAGAGTTTGCTTATCGATATAAGCAGCTGATGCAGCAGGCTGTTGAGCACATGCACAAGGCGCAGACGGCGATGATAGAGTCTGAGAACAAACACCGCCGCCCATCCACGTTCCAGGTAGGAGAGAGAGTCTGGGTCAAGTCCTCAGAACTGGGACAGGAGCACGAGATCTCCCACAAACTCATGCCACAGTACTTTGGACCATGGGAGATTCTGGATGTTGTCGGGGGTGAGCCAGATGGGCCGTCTTATGTTGTTCACATCCCTGGTCACTTACGCACTAACCTTGTTTTTCAAGCCTCCAAACTTGCACTTTTCAAGGAAACAGATGAGTTTCCTTCTCGTTGCTCAATGCTGCCCCCAACCATGGATGGAGAAGTGGACTTTGATGACATCGTGGATCACAGGGAGCTGCCAGTTCAGAGACCTACAGGCAAGGGACATCCTACGAAACCGAAGCTGCAGTACCACGTTCGGTTCCGACATCATACTGATCCCAAGGAGGACCTCTGGTTCACGAAGGAAGAACTCATGCAGACCGCTCCTCAAGTTGTAGCTCATTATGAGAAATCTCTGCAGAAGGGAAAGCGCCCGATGGTCGAAGACTGAGCTTCTCAGAGGACTGTTAAAGCTAAGGAGGAGGGAATGCGAGGCCACTGCCTCTATGAGCCCTTTTCGGCCCCTCTCTTACAGCCCGTCGGCCGCCCTAAGTGAAGGCAGGCTCGACGAGGCCTTCAGGGCCATATTTTGGTCACTGCGCAACTAAGGAAATTCAGGCAGTTGCGCAGCGCCAGTTGGTTGAGAGAACCCAGGCCCTGGGCCGCCAGTGTGAATGTATGGAAAGCAGGCCCTGGGCTGGATACGGGTTATGGGCTGAACACAGGCCAAAGGCAGTTGTGCGCATGCAACCACTTCAGGCCCAAGGCCTGTTCTTGCTCGTACTGGGCCTCAGGCTACCGGGGCCTACTGGAAGCTTCCTGGGACTGGACGCAGGTAGGCCACTTCGATATAGCAAAGGGCCTGCCTCCAAATTCGGGATTCGGGTGCTGGCTGCATGCTGTGCAAGCGCTGCTGCGCTATTTGCTGGCTGGCGCCTACCCGCTCACGGGCGAGCAGGGAAGGAGCAGGCAGCCATAGCCAAGCTGCGCTGCTGTGAGCTGGGTGAGGCGCAGGGTGGTCCTTGGGTGCAAGTGGCATCTGTGTGTTGGGGAACGAGGTTGTGAGTAAGGCNGCTGCTGTGAGCTGGGTGAGGCGCAGGGTGGTCCTTGGGTGCAAGTGGCATCTGTGTGTTGGGGAACGAGGTTGTGAGTAAGGCGAGAGACATACCTGGTGCTGGAAGCGTGCGACATTGGTCATTGTATGCTCGTACTTCAGGAGAGTTGTTGTCGTCAACTTCGGCATTGTAGTATAGGCTAGATAGGATCTGCCACATGTAGTCTGGGCGCAAAGTGCCAGATAGGATATCAACTCTGGTTATGATGGGACTATTTCAGCATTGTCAATTATGAACTCTTGGTGTGTTCTTATTTGGTGAATCTCGTGGTGCAGTTCTGCTGTTGGTTCGAGGTCACGACTATCTAGACTCATATGTATGATGCTGTTTGATTGTTGAAGTTCGCTATTGCTCATCTTCCTTGCAAAACTTTAAAAAAGGAAAAAAAAGAAAAGATCTGAGACCCTTCCCCAACGAGGAGCCAAGCCCCCAAAAATGTTTTGGGCGGTTTTCAGGCACATTTTTGCTTTTTTGGGAGGTCAGGACATGGTCTATCTCTATAATAATTTATTACGAATACACTAGGCTAACAGCCCAGCCGCCCGGGTCACCCTATTTTCCCAGGCGGCCCGGCCGTGCAAGGACCAGGGAAGGTCCCAGTGCGAGGATCTGGGTCCTCGGCAGGCCTAAGGGGCCCCTGCTACAGATGTGCCCGCCCTAAGTGAAGGCGAGCCTAACAAATCACGAGAGGCCCTCGACTGTCAATTTCGTATTTGGGGTCCAGGCAGTTGAGGGAAAACACAGGCCGAGCAGCAAAGACCTTCCACGGCCTTCCGGGCCTTTCCAAAGATGCAGGCCCTCGACAAGAATCGTAGCCTCATACACAGACAGTTGGGAGACCCAACTGAACGAGGCCCAGTAGCTGCATCAGAGGCGCAGCCACCTGGGGCCTACCGGAAGCTTCTGGGCAGAGGCCCAGGCCAGCCAGGCTGCCGAGAGAGGCAGGCTCTTTCCATATAGGAAAGAGCTCGCTGCCTGGAAGGGTATTCAACACTTGCATGCTGGCGGCAGCGCTGCTGGAGCGGACGCTCGTAGGCTGCTGTTGGCGCTGAGAGGCAAGATGCTAGCACGTGCGGTCGTGCAGGAAGCAAGGTGCTGCTGAGGGCAGTGCCATAGCCCAGCCTCCATAGCTGGATGGGCTTGGACTACAGTGAGGCGCAGGGGTGGTCTTCGGGTGTACAGAGGGAAGACGTGGGAGTAAGTCAAGAGAGAGAGAGAAGGATGATGATGATGATGAAGGTAGGGCACATACCTGGTATTGGCGATGGTATGCATTGGGCGACATCTTCAAGAACTTCGTGAGCTGCTGACATCAACTGTTGCATTGTGAATTAGTAGGCAGACTGTAGCTGTGTAGGAAGTAGGCTGGGCGCTGAGCGCCAAGTAGTGAGATAGGGCCTAGACACTCATGTTGGTGGTGGCAAGAGCAAGCTATGATTGACATTGGTTTTCAGTGTTACGATTCTTCATTGGTGTTATATTGGTGCATTTCTTCTTTCTGGACACGGTGATACTATCTGGCCTTCAATGTGATTGTGCATTTTGGACATTGTAATCTCGCTATTGTTCATTTTCCTTGCAATTTGGTATCTGAGCTGGTTCGAACTGCGCTTCATTGAGTCTTCGCAATAGTTGTTTGGTGCTTCGCATGAGGTGTGGGGCAGTAATAAGGCTTGGGCGTTGAGTGATAGGCGGCCCAGGGTCGTGTGGGCGCGCCAGGAAGCTATGTGGTGACATTAGGGATGTACGTTGGATGATGAGAGCTCGCTGATGTGGCATTTAAGTTGAGGTGGAAGTGCATTCTATTGTTGGTTGTGCCGAGGCAAAGACCGGTCATCATAAATGCACATCAGGTTGCCGGTGAGAAATCTGTGGTTGGGGGCAGCATTATGAGGTACGTTGCTCTCTTCCTTATCTACCCTCTTCGTTACTTTTTACCGTGAGGGAGTTCTGTTTTGAGAGTCCTCTCAATGTGAGGTGTCGCGAACGCTCAACCTTGAGAGTCGACATTCTTCCTGGGCAGCAAGCTGGTGGGAGACGGCCGATGCCTCTGAAGGGCCCTGGACGAAGCACTCGGGTCACAGTCACCATGCCAACCCACTGGGACTAGTACATGCATGCTTTGCCGCAAGTCCTTGGTTCTGCTGCTGCGCAATAGAGGTCATGCAGGGTATGCCAGCCCTTTGAATAGACGCTCATCAGAACGTCTATAAATATTTCTGGCGAGACTCGGTGTTGAACCCTGGTTGTGATCGTCGTCCTGTTTGCGACGTTAAATAATTCATGAGGACCTTGGGGGCTGTTCTTAAACTGCCTCTTGATCAGCCAGATCAAACTGGGTGTAAGGCTCGTTGCATGCGAGGGTAAATAAAGTGGAGGGGCTGGCAGGTTCGGCCTAGACTTGGGGCACAGAGGTGGGCCGGATTGCACACCTTCAGACACGCCGCTCAACCAGATGTTCAGGGCGTTGACACAAAGTGACAACTCAAGAAGGATACAGGGAGATAGGGGGATTCCGGTAACTGTTCGCTGTTACATTAAATAGATAAACTGCCATCCAGCATACATCTTCACAAGTAAACTGTTTTATTTTCGATTATTTAGTTGTACAGACTTGCTGACAACTGACAAACAACTTCAGATAGGATAGAAACTCCCTTGCTGCATTGCAATTTGTATTAGAGTACTCTAAAAATAGAACTAGTGTTACCTGTAGGATCTGACATTAGTTGTTACTCACCACTTAACTGTTTCTCTCCAGGCCGACCGAAAATAATCGTATATCATATTCGGTTGGGTGTCACGCTGAGGTAGGGTTCAGTGTGAATTCTAGTTTAGATCACACTCCACTGTAGCTCATGAGTGAAGCTGCTAGTAGTGAGGAGGAGGAGTTAGTGGAAGATCTTAGGGTCACTCGTTGAACTGCTCTCAGTCAACCTTTGACCTGCCTAGAGTTAGGTCCAGGAGAGGAAAGGAGGTTGCGGAGAGAAGCTAGGGAGAGGGTGGCATTGTGGAGGACGAGGGACGTTGAGGCCAGCGCCAGAGTTAGGAGTATAGCTAGCACAGGTGCGACTATGGCTACGTCTTCTACCATGTCATAGGCCTCTTCTTAGGCCTCTTCGTCAGGAATCGGTCAGAGTGTCTCTCAGGTTTCCGTTAGCTAGACTGTTGGCTTGCAACTCAACCAACAAACTCAACTCACACCGGAGGATGATGAGATCCTCCAAGCAGAAGAGCTTCATAACGAACTGCAGCGGCAGTTGAGAGAGGCAGCAGCGGGCTATCTTGAGAAAAGCTAGACTAAGGAGTAGGAGACAAGAGTTAAGCAAATTAGAAGCATTAAATGAGTCCACACTTGATCCTGCAATGCAAGCACTGCGTAACTTGCTTCTATATGTAGGGGAAACGCTGGTTGTTCAACAGGAAGTGCTGGCTGAACTAGTGGCAGGCCAGAAGCAAATTTTGGCCGCACTACAGGCTCCTCGTCCATTAATGAGGCAGCCTCAATATGTTGTAGCTCCCCCTTTAGTTGCGGGCCCCTCAATGACGCCGTCGCCGGTAGGGCCCTCTTTCTCCCCCATGTTTGGCATGATCCCTCCATGTGTTCTAGTAGCAACTAGTGGTCCGATCCTTAGAGCTTCTACTGTACCATCCACAACGGTGGTAACTACAGTCCCATCGTCAGGACAAGCCCAGGTTAGCATGCAGCAACCTGTCTCAGTGGCCATGCAACTACTGCAACAGTCACCTGGGCCAATCCAGCCTATGCAATGGAAGCCCAAGATACCCTTGTTGAGTCCTAAGCCCTTCTTTGGCGACAGGAAGAAGGTCGAGGACCTGGACACCCGGGTGAGGACTGTGCCCACTTATGCAACTCACAAGCTCACCAGGCCAGAGCAGGAAGTCATAGTGGCTGCCTCCTTTTTAGAGGGATCGGTGACACGTTGGTTAAACGGGTTAGTGCAGCAGCAGGGTTATGGTCAAAACTTCGATGCCGGGGCTCAGGCCCAGACATTGGAAGAGTTCGTGCGGACTGTGTACAACAGGTGGTAGGACCCCCAAGGGGCTCAGAAGGCCATCGACGCAATTAACAATCTTTGTGCCAAAAGGTACAAGAATGTACGCGAAGTCACAGACACCGTAGAACGTCTGATCGTAGTACCTGGTGTGCGTTTTGACCCGTAGGAACTCCTCACAGACTACTTGAGATGTCTGCCCTCATAAATTAAGACTAAGCAGGTGGATGAGGCCTACGTACACCAACATAGCTTCGCTACTTTCAACAAATAAGCCTTAGATATAGAGGCTAAGCTGGGATCCGCGCATCAGGGCCAATCGGATGGTAGGAAGAAGAGACTTCCCCAAGACTGAAAAAGAAAGGTCAACTTATGTTCGTCGACCATGATGGTCATGCGACTGAAATTGACGACTTCCCAGACCATGGGAAGGTGACAGAGCAGGATGGGGTCAATGAGATTTTGGATGGGGGAGTCGTGGCGCCTATCAAAGAAAAGGGTAGAGGGACTGGGAAGTAGAAGGTAGGCAGGTCTACGGGTCAGGGCGACCAAGGAACACCCGCATGGGTAAAACTTGGTTTAGATTACGAGGTGTGGAGGGACCGAGTTGCCAGGGGCACATGCATGAACTGTGGCAACTAAAGCCACGCGTGGAGAACTTGCCGAACTCCAACGGTAGTGGGCTTATCCTCAAACCCTGGCAGTGCTTATGCGAGCACTTCGCAGGGAAACACCTCGGGCCAGTAAGAGTGTTAGTCACTCTTACTCGCGCTGAAGTGGTAACGTTGCCTTCCCCACTTCAGGCGTTGGCCAAGGTTAGTGACCCATACATCGCCCCGCAGACACATTCAGACCCACCGACACTCTGTTCGAGAGATGTGTCTTAGTCCCTAGAGGAGTTACAGTCTGAGTGGTGAGGAAAGGACCCCGGAGACTCTTGGGCGATGATCAGTAGAGGTCCTAAAGGTGAACATTTTGTGGTAGAGGTTGATGTAGGTGGCCGTAAACTGGGTGCCTTCGCAGACGTAGGCTCTACACAAAATTTCATTAGTCGTGCTTTTGTGGACAGACTACGCTTAGGGGACCAAGTGCAGCAGCTTAGTAGAACTGTAGCTTCTACGCTAGCCAACAAGCACCAAATGTTAGTCAAAGACTATGTCAAGGACGTAGTCTGTACCTTCTCTTAAGGAGGAGGGGAAGTGAGACACAAAATCTCATTCCTTGTCAGCGACGAACTGCCTTTTGACATGTTGCGAGGCATGTACTACCTCGAGGTTGCTCAGCGTCAGTTCGATAGTGATAGGAAGGTGTTGATACACAAGCTGCCAAATGGTTGGACCGTTAGACTGCAAAGTTCAAAGCTAGCAGTCTAGTGGAAAACTACGCCTGCATGTGTGCCTCCTCTTTCTATAACTACTATAAGCAGAATCACGAGGAGGGCATGTATCTACAATCTTCCCCCGAGCAAAAGGCACGTGCGTTAATCGTTTACAACTCACGTGCGTTAATCGTTTACAACTCACGTGCGTTATACTACGGATACTAGGTATCAATTTTCAAAGATGAGCCCCCAAAAAGGAACGGTACCCAGTGTCCGTGTAGGCCCACGTGCAAGGATGGCAGGCATAAGTCCGATCATGGTAGACCTGTGAAAAAAAAAAAAAAAAAAGACCAACTGTAAAAAAAAAAAAAAAAAACCTCGAAAGACCGCCAAGAAACGGTCGAACTGTTCGAACACTGTGGCGTCATTGCCACTGGGCCCAATGTCAGAACAGTCAGGCCCGGCACATGCAGTAAGTAACATTCCAAAGCAGCAATCGACGATGCTTGTGCCAAGTACCGCTCCAAGAACAATAGGCAAGCCATCCAGAAGCCGCCAAGAACCAGGGAGACGGGGGGGGGGAGGGGGAGAGAGAGAGAGAGAGAGAGAGAGAGAGAGAGAGAGAGAGAGAGAGAGAGAGAGAGAGAGAGAGAGAG